GAGAGACGACAATCTTCCCGGAAGCATCTGGAAGGAGAAAGGGCGGTGCCTCTGAAGGGCCCTGGTCGAAGCACTGGGTCACGGTCACCATGCCAACCCAATGGGAGTAGGTCATGCATGCGATGGCAGCTGTCCATTAAGGCACTTTGCTGCGCCAAATAGAAGTTGCTCCGAGTGTGCCAGCCCATGACAGACGCTTACCAGACCGTCTATAAATATTTCTGGTTGGGAGTTCATTGTGAATCTGGTTGTGATCGTCGTCCTGACTGCGACGTTAAAGAATTCCTGAAGAGATGGGGGAGCTCTATAAATACCTCCTGATCAGCCAGATCACATGGACAGGAAGGCTCGTCGCCGTACGAGGGTAAATAAGAGTGGTTGGGCTGGCTTGCTCGGTGACAACTTGGGCACAGGGGTGGGCCGAAATACACACAAAGACACTGCCTGCTCATTGATGTTGTTTGGTATGTTGGATGGAGGGGAGGGTAGTTTCCAATTGGTGCTCAAATGGAAACACAACCATACCCACTGATCATACATCTGCAACATAGTCTTATTTTAATCATTGATTAGTTGGTTGACAACTGCTAACACCTCACAGACAGATTAGAGTAGGACTGTAGTATACTACCATAGCCAGTTCTATCTAATGCTGCTGTAAGTGAACTAATCAATGTTAGGATTAGATTATGTGTATAGTCTATGTGAATATTGTTAGACGATCGCTTGACTGTGGTGAAGATACCTGTCGGACACATTCATTCTTAGAAAATCAGGTGTCGGTCAGACACATGCTGTGGTAGGACTCCACTAGGGGGTTGTAGTGCAGATAATGTTTGCCTAGTTGTTGAGTGGGACAAAACAGCGATGAGGGTAGAGTTGACGATGAGTGACTCACGGTCGGAACTAAAGAGAGTTCCGCTCGTGTTTTAGATTCTAGGTACGGAAGTCAAGCGACGACTTAGGGCCGGAGAAAGAGCTCGTGCACGAGCAGCAGTTGAGAAGAGCAGGGAAGTTGCACAGCTGGTAGCAGCAGCTAACGTAGCACCTAGAAAGGCCGCCGCAGCTGCAATGGCTACCGCAGCAGTGTCCAATGCCGCCCTCTCATCTTGGACCTCGTCAGGGACACAATTGGGAATGCTCACCTGGTCCCCGGGCATCACTAGTACCATAGTTTCTATGGTCTCCACCAGTCAAATGGCGGGCTCGCAATTAAGCCCGCTGACCCCACACCAGCGGGAGTTGAGGGAACTCCAGCAAGTCGAAAGGATCCATGCACGGCTAGTGAGGGAACTTCAGGAAGCCACAGAGAGAAAGAGAGATAGGACAGTTAGTTTGGAGAGAGTAGAGGCCAACAAAACTGTGTTAGAGGCAACAAATGAGCCAGTGATGTTTGACCCAATGAAGGAGTTGAGGTCTAGCTTGCTCACACTACACGCACGCGTAGTCAGCAAAGAGGACTTCATGCAAGACACCTTGGATTAGACATTGACTTAGTTGCAACAGCTAAGCTCTAGGCTGCTCGCAGTTTATAAATCGCCACTCCCTAAGATGGCAATTATAGGCATCTACCCCCAAGCTGGCATACAACCAAGCGGATTCGTCACCAGCAGCAGCACAGACTGTAGCTTCTTCTTCTTCTAGTCAGGCGGTGACAGCTACTCAATCACCGCCACAGCAACCTGTTCCACCACAAAAACAGTAGCAAGTTCCTTGTTCTCAAAGACCCCGAAGAGGGCTCCCCTTCCTTACACAAGTGGAAAGGAGGAGGAGGATCTCAATCTCAAGATGAGATCGTTACCGATGTGGGTCAGGGCCAAGAGAATCTTGCCATAAGAGGAAGTGATACCGGCTTAATGTGTTCATAGCGAAAGCCGGATATAGGGGACGCATAGGAGTTTGGTGTGAGGCCCAATCTTTAGAAGAGTTCATCGAGGGTAGAAGCTCGCTGGCCCAATTTAGTCAGGGAGTTTACGACTACCGTTGAGAATCTCATTGTTGTCCCAGGCATTCGCTATTTCTCCCTGAGAGACTGAGAACACAGTTGGCATATCATTCTTCAGTAGGCGGAAGAAGAAAGCAGAGTCCACAGGAGTGGAAGAGGAAGGGTAGACGAATGAAGAGGTCAGTGACCCTTCTGACCTGATGGACACACCAGAGGATTGCGGTGAGGACTATGCTGAGGGTAGCAGGGTAGCACCCTTGTCGTGGTAAAAAAGGCCAAGGCGGATGGCCGAATGAAGGGCCATCAAAAGAGTCAAGGGCAGGCCGCCTCCAATCAGTCTAAAGTGGATGATTGGGTTAAGGCAGGCTTAGAATAGTGTAGCGGGACCGCCGTTCGCATGGAGCTTGCATTAACTAGGTGAAAATGAGCACACCCAGTATAAGTGCAAGAATGCGAAGGTCACGCAGAAGATATCCCTAAGAGAGGGGTGCCTTCTTCCCAGGCTTCTAGCTCGGGAAACACGTGAGGCCGGTGGAAGTTTTAGCTGCTTCTACTCAAGGTGAAGTGAGAATACCCTCCCCACTTCATGAGTTGGCCAAGGCTAATGACTCTTTAGTCATCCCGCAGACTCATCTAGACCAAAATGTGCTTTGTACATTAGATGTGCCTGAGGCCTTAGAGGATTCGCAGAGTGA